CAGGGCCTCCAGTGGTAGATGGGTTGGGCATCAGTTGCCAGATGCTCATCACAAGTGATGCATGACAGTGGTAAAGACGGCTGTGAGGAGCTGTGGGGTCCTGTGCTTTTATGGCCACTGAGTGGTGAGGACAGCGGGAGGGCGTGTGCCTGGCTATGCCCTCACCGGGTTGGACACACCCCTACGGCCCAGACACAGCGTCTGGTTCCTGTGGACATGGGGCCTTGTGAGACATGTTACTATGTCAAGGAGGCTCCGTGCAGTCTGGCTGCTGTGTCGCATGGCGGGTGGGACCCCTGCCGTTCCCGCCGTCCCCACCTGCCTTGGTGTTCCAGCCATCCCAAGTCTGGCAGTGACGTTCTTCACGCCAGCACCTGTGTCCTGTGAACATGTCCCATCATTCTTAGGGCATTTTCCGGCACAGCAAGATGGCCCAAGTTCCCCTGGTTCTTTCCTGCCCAGCCTGACCCAGCCACTCGTCCAGGGGCCCTGCTTCCTGGCAGTGGAATGGCACTCAGAGACCTGGCTGGGTCCCGCAGGCCTGAGCTGGCAGAGCGGGGACAGACGTGCACAGCCTGCCTGCTGCCATGGGAAGCCACACCCCCCCGCCAGCCCATCTCTACTTGTGCCTGCCTCCAGGGTGGGAACATTTCCTCTCAGCTCAACCAGGCACATCCCAGAGCCCCAGATGGAGCTAGTCAGCCAACTCTAGACCACCCTCCTGTGGCCCAGGGTCCTGCCCACCCCTCCCCTGGCCCAGTGTTCTACTCACTACTCACCCCTCCTGCGGCCCTGACCCAGGGTCCTGCCTGCCTACTGCAGGCTGTCAGTTTACCTTCTTTCCAGTCAGCTTTATTGGGGTCTAACAAAGCATCCCCGAAATCCCCACACTGCCCCCAGGCAACTCTGATCTGCTTTGGTCCCTTCGGGTTAGATCCGTGTCTTCCGGGACTTCACACTGGCAGAACCTTCCAGTGCTCATGACTGCAGCTCACCTGTTACCTTGTCTGAGTCCAGGATGGCTCCTCGATGGCTCCACCACTAGGAAGGGCAGTGCCTGGTCCAGGTCCCAGCTGCTTTCCCGCTGGCTCCCACTGGCTCCCCTCTGGAGGCAGCCCCCCTTCACAGTTGAGCCCAGTAGCCATGTGGCAATCCCTTCTGTCGTCCGTTGGCCCAGGCGCAGCAGCCTCCAGGGGTTGGGGCAGCTTCGAGGTGCCATCAGTGGACGGCGGGTTGGCTCTCTTCCAACGCCTGCTCCCTCTGGAACTGAGACTCCATACGCAGGAATGCCCCAGTAAAGGGTGTGGAAGCAAAATGTCGTGGGCATGTCTGGAAGGGGAATGGGAGGGTGCAGCACTTTGGCTCTGAGAGACACACAGCACAAAGCTGGCTGCTGCTTCAGGATGCGAGCCACATCCTCAGGACAGTGCCTCGACCTGGTGCCACCCTGTGTACCACCTGCTGCCGTGTAACGAGTTTCCCTGATGCTCCAGTGATCCGCCAGGGCTGAGGCCAGGACCGGGTGTGGCTCCCCTGGGACCTCCGCTCAGGATCTCCTACATGGCATCAGCGGGGCTGGAGGCTCTACCCCGGGCTCAGTGCCCCGCTGGCCCAGACGTCCATTGTGCACCACCTGGGCCTCCTCACAGGACCACTCACCACATGGTTGGTGACGCCCTGAGTATGTGACCTGAGAGACACAAGCAGAAGCAGCATGTCATCTGCAGTGCCATGCCATCGCCTCCACCATGTCCAGCCAGCCTACACCCCGCGGGAGGACTTGAGGCATGAACAGCAGGGGTCGGTCCTCAGTCATCTTGGAGACTGGCCACCACAGCACGAGTCTCCCGTGGGCTCCACCACAAGCAGCAGCTCTGACCAGCGCCAGGGGGCGGCAGTAAGTCCTGGGGGAGTGTGCCGTCACGTCAGCGGTGATGGCCTGCCAGGGTCACATCGAATGGAACATGACACATGGGCAGCTCTGTCAGCCCTCAGAGAATTGGGTGATGACGGGCCTCAACAGGCAGAGATGGGCACAACATCCTGGGGTGGTTATTCCGGGGTGTGAGTCACTGCCCTCTCCACCGTGGAAGACTCCTGGTCCTGACAGAGATGGTGCCCAAACAGAGACTGAGAGGTGTCCCTGCTGCCAGTCGGTCAGATATTCAGCAGTATCCTGCTCATCCTTGGGGAGCCCAGTCAAAGCCCTGAGCCCGTGCGGAGCCTCTCTGCCACCATAGCCCCAAGAAGGAGCTGGGTGGAGGGCACAGCCGGCTGAGTCCACACTCAAGTTGTCCTGTCTACGGAGCCCACACACCAGGCCATCCTGTCCATGGAGCCCACGTGCCAGGTCGTCCTGTCTTGTCCACAGAGCATACACTCAGGTCATCCTGTCCACGAAGCCCACACACTAGATCTTCCTGTTCATGGATCCCGTGTACTGGGCTGTCCTGTCCATGGAGCCCAAATACCAGGCCGTCCTGCCGGTCCATGGAGCCCATGTGTCAGGTCATCCTGTCCACAGAGCCCACACCCGAGTCATCCTGTCCATGAAGCCCACATGCTGGGCCATCTTGTCTATGGAGCTCATACCCCAGGCTGTCCTGTCCACAGAGCCCACAGGCTGTCCTGTCCACGGAGCCCACATGCCAGATTGTCCTGTCCATAACACCCATGTGCCAGGCCATTCTGCCCACAGCCCACACCCAGGTCATCCTGTCCACAGAGCCCACACGCCAGATCATCCTGTCCACGGAGCCCACGTGCCAGGCCATCCTGTCCATGGAGCCCACGCCTGAGGGGTCCTGTCCACCTCATTTGCAAGAGCCCTCTCTGTGAAGAGGGGTCCTTTGGGGGACACTGATATTCCTACACTCTGTGTCCACTCTGAGAAGTCCAGCCACCCACCTCTTTCCCAAGCTGTGTCACCAGCCCTAGGACCAGCCGCCAAGCCGCCAGTTGCTGCCGATGGGTCTCTGCAGAACCGTCCTCCCACAGGGGGTGCACACTCCTGAGGTTCGGTTCTAGGAAGGACCCATTTTCTGGAGGCTCCCGGGTCCCTGTGTGGACCTGTGCCTCCACGGGGTGCACTTCTGCTGAGGGCACAGACTGGGCAGAAGCTTCTGTGAACGAGGCTCAGTCATGGGGACCTCTGGGAGAATGGGCCACTGCTCACAGACTCCCTGTCCCTTCAGGGTCTGCACTGGGCTCCCACGTGTGCCCCAGCAGTAAGGGTCCTGCGAGGCCCCTGAATCTGTGGCTGGTGGCTCAGACACGTCCACTCATCCACTCGTCACCCAGCAAGCCGTCAAAGAGCACCACCACGTGCCAGGCACCGCCATGTGCCAGGCACCACCACACAGGAAGAACTCCTTGGGAGCAACAATCCAAAGTCTGGCCTCGTGGAGCCTGTTTTGGGGTGATGGGAGGCAGCAGTGAGCAGCCACACACTGCCCAGGGCAGCCCCAGCTGTCACCCGCTGCCCAGACACATGGGACCCAGCAGGACATCTGTCCAGACCCACCGCAGAGCCTTCTGTGGCAGCACCCATTCCATCACTGCAGTGACATTGCCATAGGCCGAGTGCTCAGCTCAGCACACATGTGATCCTGCAGTTTTTTGGGTTTTTTTTGAGTTGGAATCTCACTCTGTCACCCAGACTGGAGTGCAGTGGCCGCTCCCGGCCACCGCAGCCTCGACCTGCTGGGCTCGGCTATCCTTCCGCCTCAGCCTTCCGAGTAGCCGGAATTACAGGCATGTGCTACCACGCCCGGCTGATTTTTGATTTATTGTAGAGATGAGGTCTCGCCAAGTTGCCCAGGTGGGTCTCAAACCCACAGGCTCAGGCAATCCCCTCACCTCAGCCTCCCAAAGGCGCGGGATTACAGGCTGAGCCACCAAGCCCGATGTTCCTGCAGGTCTTGAGGGCAGAAACCAGCATGGGCCCTGGGCTGGAGTCAAGGTGTGGGCCTGGCTCATTCTGGAGACCCCAGGGGAGCCTGCGTCTTCGCTGTTCCTGGACCCTAGAGGACTTGAGTGGAGCCCTCCTCTGCTTCGGTCCCCGGGACCCCAAGTCCCCTCTGCCTGTCCACGCTGAGGATTGCTGATCCTGCCTGAGCGCTGCCAGCAGCCCCCTCAGCCCAGGATCACCCGTGGCCCCAGCGCATTCCAGAGGACCACCACAGTATCTCCCCACCGAAGCCACCGTGGAGGGCAAGTCCCCACAAGCAGCAGCGACTTCCTAACGCAGCGTCTCTGCAGACTCTTGGATCTGTATTCCTTCCTGCACTAACGCAAAGGAGCTCCTGTCCTCCTGACTTTTGGGGTGTGGGTCTCTCCTGTGGCAGGGTTCCCTGACCGCTGAGCAGTCCACGGAAATCACTGTGTTGGGATTCCCACTTGGTGGGGAGGAGTGATGCGCACGTCCACGTCTGCCCACCGGCCTGGCTGGGGAGTTGATCCCACACCCACTCCCCGGGGTTCTCTGTGATTGGCTGCGCCCTCCAGCAGGGAAGCCTCTGCTCAGATCGGAGTTCGTTCTTGCCCATGATGCATGCTGGCGCGAGGCAGACTGGCAGCCCCTGGGGGAGGCGTGTCGGGGCCTTGGGCGGCTTGCTGCTTCCAGTGCCAAGAGATGGGCGGGGGCTTGGGGTTCAGGGTACTTGAGTGTGTCCAGACCCACCCTGCTGGTGTCCTTCCAGAATCCACGTGTTGGAACTTAGTTCCAAGCTGATGGCATGGGGAGGGGTCTTTGGGATGTGCTTAGGCCGTGAGGATGCCGCTCACAAAGACGGGATTCATGCCTTGAAAGGGCTGGGGGCAGCAAGTTTGTCCCTTTTGCCCCTCTGTCCCCTCCACCACGTGGGGACACAGAGAAGGTGCCAGCTATGAGGAACAGCAATCTACTGGTGCGTCGACCTTGGACTTTCCGCCTCCAGAACTGTGAGAAATACATTCCAGTGTTTATACACTACCCAGTCTTGGGTATTTTGTTAGAACAGCAGGAATGGACCAAGACAACATCTGACCTTTTATAAGAGAGACCTGCAAGCTGGCTGGGCACACCTGCAATCCCAGCACTCGGGGAGGCTGAGGCGGGAGGACTGCTTGAGCCCAGGGATTCGAGGCTGCGGTAGACCCTAATCACACCAGTGCACTCCAGTCTGGGCAACAGAGAGACCCTAACTAAAAAGAGAGAGAGCCCCTACAAGCTGTTAGCTCAAATTGTCACTCGACCACTGACCACAGGATAGGGAGACGCAGCATCCAATTGAACAGTGACTGAGAGTGTTCCAGAACTGGGGAGGACATGAATCCTCAGATTAAGTCAGGAGCAGGAGGAGTGGAAATAACCCACACGTGGAAACACCATGGAGTCAGACACTGGGAAGGGATGAAACAGTGTCAGGATGTCAGTGACGTTTCCGGGTGGAGATCTGAAGGGAACTGTAATCAGCCATTGCAGTTATTTAAGGTTGCCCCAACACAGGAGACAGCATGCCCAGTTTTTAATATACAGTGGAATAACCTTGATGCCAAAACCAAGAGGATAGTACAAGAAAGGAAAAGTATGGCCCAGTCTCGAAATCAATGACAAAATCCTGTATCCTGCATCCAAACTAGAATCTGACCATGTGCTGGGCACACACACCCCTTACTCGGTGTCAAGCTGGGGTATATATCCTCAGAGCCCCAAGGAAAGGCTTCACGGTGGAAATTCCTCATGCTGACACTCCGAATGGGCAAAGCCATCTGGGCTCCTCAATTCACTGTGTGCTCCTGAGTTTTTTACGACAGTGAGGCCGACCTGTCTTGCAGTGGGTAGAAAGATTGGACTCAATTTTTAGAAAAGCTTCCAGCAAAACGGGATGGAAGGAAATGTCCTGGGCATGACCAGGGTGCCCACCAGAGACCTGCAGCCAGCATCTCACAGGATGTGTTGGAGGCATTTGCTTTTCTGCCCGAAATGGGCAGAGATGGCAGGTAAAACTCCTGTGTCCGCCCTGCTCCGTGGGTTCTGGTCCAAGTCTGTGCCTTCCAGGGAACTGCCAGAGCATCCTGGACACTGAGCACGTCACTCTGCCAGGCTCTCAGTCCCAGTGTGCCACCATCTCCCCACACTCCCAGCCAACGCTGTGGCAAAGGACACTGGCAGGTTCACCCCAAAATGGACTTCCACGTGCTTGGGGGGTACGTTCTCGGCCTTAACCCCTTGCTGCATCTGTGAACTGCTGCATCCTCTTCATCCCAGCTGAAGAGGAACCAGAAACTTGCCTGAGTTGTGCCAAAAATCCATGGAACGCTGTGTATCAGGCCACCATGGACACCAGACTCACTCCCAGGCGAGGACAGGTCTGCCCAAGACCGGAGGTCGGGCAGGTCCCCATCATCCAGCTGAGGGGCAGACGCGGGCCCCATCCAAGCACATCTGAGAGCTGAGGGGTGACCACTGGCATTGCTCAGTCAGCACCAGGGACCCTGCAGGACAGTCATGGCCGTCCCTTCCCAAATGCTTTCCCCAGCCAGGCAGGGGCCCGCCCCGGCCCACCACAACCAATGGGCTCCAGGCTGGCGAGTGCCGTGGGTACACAGGGGGTATAGGGAAAGGCTCCAGCCTGGCTGGACTTGGGTCCATGGTGCACTTCCAAGGCCAAGGCGGTGGGGAGTCGAGCTCAGTCCCCGGGTGACTCCGGGCCAAGAAACCTCCCGGAGGATGGAGCTGACCCTCCAGGGTGTCCACACCCGTCTGGTGTGTTTGTCAGAACAGGAAGGGCATGTGGCCAGGTCCCAGCCTCTGGGCTGCTATTAGCAAGGGACCTCTTGTTTGCAAGGCTCGCCCTGTGGCACATCGAGGTCCAGGAGGGGCAGCTGGAGGCCTTCAGGGAGGCGGAGCGGGAGGAGAAGGAGGCTGAAGACAGGCGCCGCCGGGTGCGCAGGGCAGAGAGGCTCCTCCAGGAGCAGGAGGCCCAGGGGAAGGCGGAGCAGAGTCGGCTGCTGAGGCTCCGGTAAGTGGCTCCCAGACCTGCCTTCCCCACAGCCCCCAACCCTCAGCCTTCTGCTCTGTGTGCTCCAGATTCAGGCTCGGCCCTCCCTGGCTCCTCAGACCTGCCCAGGTGTCAGGTGCCTCCCCAGGCCCAGAGCCCCGGCCCCTGGCTGTCCTTTGAGCACCTTGAGGTGCTTAGGCCAGTCCCTCCATGTCCCCTGGGGCCACCTGTCATGCGTCTCCTGCTCAGTCAGGGTTCTGGGCAGGGCAGGCACCAGCCGCCTCCCAGACCTGACCCCATGTGTCTCGGGCTGTCATGGCGCCAGCCCCAAGGCCCCCCCGCGCGCTACCTGCCTGGCTCCTCAGACCCCCGCCCCAGGCTCACCCTGCCCCTTACCCAAGCCAGTAACCAGGGATCCACCCGCCACTCCCACCATTGCCAGCTCTCTCTGCTGGTCCCGTGGAGCCCAGGCCCAAGCTGTGGACTGCCAGGCTCCTCGTCCCTCACCACTACGCCCACCCACAGCACTGTCATTGCTAGTCCCTTCTTCTACCCAACCCCGCCCAGCCCGGATCAAGCCTCACCTTTGGCGGGCCGCACCAGGGCCTGTAGCACTTAATTTGGTGTCCATGGTGCCCATCCGCCCGTGTCCCCGGCTCCTGCCCATGCGGACATGTCTTCCTGGGGCGTGAGCGTCAGCAGCCAGGGCCTCGAGCCCACACAGCACAGGAGGCCGAGTCTCGTGGGCCGTGTCGCTGCAGGAAATCCTTGCTCACCCGGAAGGAGCTCGGCCGCAGGCACCAGCAGCTGGCGGAAGATGCCCAGAGGAGTCGCAGGGCCGCTGTGCAGTTCCTGAGGGCCTCGCTGGGCAGGTAGGCACTCCTGGGCTCTTCCCTCTGGCCTCGAGGAGACCAGGAATGCAGCCACTGCTCTGAAATTCCCAGGGTTTACTGCAAAGTCCCCGCCCAATCATTGGAGCCCCGGTCTGGTTTTCGGCCTGAGCCGCTGTGTCTTCGGAAGACGCGCGGGCTGCGGTGGACTGGCATTTCTAGCTCTGGTCCTTACTGCCTGAGCCCGCACAGCTCCCCGCTCACCTAGGTGCTGTGCCCTTGGGCCACCATGCCCCCACCAGCACCCCTCGTGTGTACGGACCCCTTCCCAGGATCCGAGAGCGAGAGGCGCAGGAGGCGCTGGCGTCCCGGGAGCATCTGCAGAGGCGCATGGACGCAGTGCTGGCACTAAAGGGCAGCATCTCGGCCAACCGGGTAGGCCCCACCGCCCTCCGCGTGCCTGGGCCAAACCCTCGGGAGCAAGCCCATGGCCTGGCGTGTCTGGGTGGTGAGTGGCTCTCTGAGAGTCTTGGAGCTTCTGCCACAGGACTTTTGTCGCAGGCTCCGGGGTCAGCAGAAGGAAAGCAGCTCCCAGGCCCCTCCTCGGGCGTCTCCCCTTGTGGGATGGGCGCAATGCCCCGTGAGGCACACGTGGGACCAGGGCACCACAAGGCCATGCACAGGGCCAGGGCCGGGGCGAAGCCAGGAGAGCGGAGGGGGAAGAGGCTCAGCGGGGCGGGTCGAGGGCCACCGGCTGGCTGGGCGGAGACACCCCAGCCCTGTAGAGGCCCCAGCGGGGGTGGACTTGGAAAAGGACAGAGCTGGACAAAGGGCAGACCACCTGCTGCGGGAGCCAAGGGGGCCAGCATTACTGAAGGACAGGCCCGGTGTGTGAGCGTGTGTGTGCCTGTGCACGCATGTGTGAGTGTGAGCGTGTGTGTGCACATGTGTGCTGAAGTTATCTCCTCGGTGTTCTCTGTTTCCAAGGAAACATTGCGGAAGTTTCAAGCGTGGGGCCAGGCCAAGGCAGAGCTGGCGGAGCGGAGGGCCCAGGCTGAGCAGGCGGCCGTCCTCGCCCAGGGCGGGGATGCGTTCAGGCACCTTTTCCACCAGCAGCGCAACCAGGAGCTGGAGGCCCAAAGGCGGTGAGGGTAGCGGATGAGGGGTGCGTGGCGGGGAGGGCTTGTCCAGCAAGCCCAGCCTCTCCTGGGACCCCTCTCGGGGCTGGGGGGCAAAGGAATGGGGGTCCAGCCCGCCCTGGCTCCTCCTTGGCCCTGTGGGCCTGACCTTGGCCTGTGGGCCTAACCTTGGCCCTGTGACCTTGGCCTGACTCACCCTGGCCAGCCTCTCCCCCAGCTCCTCCTAGAGCCTCTGGGTCTTGCCCTGGTCTCTCAGGAGGAGGGCCGAGGGGCTCTATCTAGACCCCTCCAGGAAGCCTGGTAACGTTTTCAGGTTCCCTCTGGGGGAGCTTAAGCCCACTTCCTTGTCTGGAACCCTTGCCTGGCGTCCTGATGCTGCAGCTTGGGCTCCCTGGGGCCCCTCTGGCTATCATCCCCCCAATTCAGAAGTCACGCAGGCTCATCCTGCTTCCAGCTTCCCTTCTTGGTCTCCCCCACCCGGGCTCAGTGGTGCCCTGTTGCCCCACCCCGTGGCCCTGCCATGGGAGCAGCTTCCTGGGCTCCAATGCTCAAGGCCAGGGTTTCCAGCTGGCCCGTCTCTGCCACCTCATTCCTGGCCTTTGCCAGCCCTGCATACAACGCTACAGCAACGTGTAGATCATCCTCTCCGTGGCTTTGCCCAGAGTCGCCCTCATTCTGGGGGCCTGTCCTCTCTCCCCTGGCCCTGGCTGGCTACTGCTTAGGATCTGCTTGAGTGTGGCCTCCCTACCCCCAAGTCACAGTCCCACCACCCATCTGCCTGCCCAGCGTGGTGGGGGTTCCTGGGGACACCTCTGCCCACCCACACGTCCCTTAACCTGGCACCTAGGAGGCCTGGCAAGCAGCGACCGGAATGAGCGAGCGAGTGAGTGGGTGGGTGAGCGAATGAGCAACCTCAAGCCCTGACGCCGCCCCTGTTTCAGCTGGGCAGCCCGGCAGCCATCCCGGAACTGAAGGGTGGGGAGCAGCTCTCGGGGGCGGGCCGAGGACCACTGGGGGACTGGGCTGCTAGCCCACACCGGGCCAGGAGGGGCTGGGGTTCAAGTCTGGGGTCTCCTCCTGGGCTCCATCCATCTCCTCCCCGGGAGCCCGGGCTCACCCCGGCCCAGGATGCGCCCACCCGAGAGCCCCGCCAGGCAGGACCTGAGCTCCTGGGAAGAGGCTGCCTGGGCGGCCCCAGCCCATTCCTCCTGGGCCTGGACGGGTGGCGCCTGCCCTGTCTGAGAAGCATCCCTGGCAGGGCCTTTGAGGAGGGTCAGAAGCTCAGGAGGCAGGAGATCATCGGTCGGATTTTGAAAGAGAAAGCAGAGGAGGAGAACAGGAAGAAGCAGCCTCCCTCCACCAGGGCCACATGCCAGCTGACCCTACGAGACAAGACGTGGAGCTACGTCTCGGACGTCTGTGAGGGGAAGACCGCAGCCCCGACCATCACGGAGTCCCTGGTGAGCGGGATTCGCCACCGAATTCGCACAGCCGGCAGGGCACAGGGCCTGGGGCTGGTGCAGCGGCAGGTTGTCCGGGGACTGCAGGCCACGGCCATCCGCAGGGCAGTGTCACCAGCTCTTCACAGCCCCGGGCAGCAGGGGTGGGAATCGCCGTGAGAGGGAGGCCCACAGCCGAGCATCCTCCGGTCCCAGAGCCCTGGCAGGCCTTTCCTCCCCAGCTGTGCCGCGGGCCCCCCACAAGCCAGGTCAGCATGTGTGGGGGAGGGGGCCACGCAACCTTGCAGACCCACACCCACGTGGCCACCTCTGCTGAGCACTCCTGACGTCGCCCTGGAGACAGTGACTGTTCTGTCTCTCATTCGTTCGTTCACTCATTCTATTGAAGGCCTGCTCCGTGCCTGCTCTCCCTCAGTTGGGGGGTTAATTACTAGGTCACTCTTCCCTAAGGGCGTGGGGTGGGGCAACACCCCCTTCTGAGCCCAGCAGGTGCTGCAGCCTCTGCCCTCGTGGACCCCAAAACCTGAAGACCAAGGTCACTGACTCCAACAAACGGCCTGAGGAAAAGCCCAGCCTCATTCTGCCTGGGTTCCAGCCCGTGTGAAGGGTCTTTGCTGCATGCCCGGGGCATAGGAGGAGGTCCTTCCTGGTTCCCAGGCTTCTGTGCCAGGGGCCTCTGCTTTGTAACTTTTTCCATTTACAATATTATTACTCAATATTTTTCTCCGACGCTCAGAAGAGTCTGCACAAGATCCCTTTGATGGGAAAGAGTCTCATTTATGGACGAGAGCCTTCCTCGCCAAACCTTCTTATTGTTGCTGGTGTAGATCATGCCCCAGGAACAGGGACTGTGCCAGTCCAGCCGGAGATGTGGGGTACTGCGGTGGGCCGGGAGACGGGTCCCTCCCTCCCAGAACAGCTCATGGAGAAGTAAAGGCAGAGTCAGGACAGAGCCAGGGAGTGCAGGCTGCCCACACGAGCCCAGGGTACTGATGGTCAAGTGTTGATAGCCAGGAGCTGACGGTCAGGTGCCAATTGTCAGGTGCTGATGGCCAGGTGCTGACAGCCAGGTGCCCAAACCAAGCCAGGTACAGGTCAAGTGTTGATATCTAGGTGCTGACGGTCAGTGTGCCAAGGATCAGATGCTGATGGCCAGGTGCCAACAGCCAGGTGCCGATGGCCAGGTGTTGGTGGCCAGGTGCTGACGGCCAGGTGCAGACCGTCAAGTGTTGATATTCAGGTGCCAACGGTCAGGTGCTGATGGCCAGGTGCTGTTGGCCGTGCTACCCGCAGGGTGGGGTGACCTTCCATTCCATCCTGAACACGTCTTTACTCCACAGGAGGACGATGCTGTTGCCCACCACAGGCCCTCCCAGCTAGTGGAGGCCATCTCCAGTGAGTCCGTGCAGGTGGACCCCGGGACCATCTCAGAGGAGGAAACGTTAGCCGAGCCTGAAATCTCTGGCCTCTGGAGCGAGGGCTACAAGCCGTACCAGGTACGGGGTCCGCTTTCTAATCCCTCATGTCAGACCCCCACCCCACGCGACTGTTGGTGCTCTTCTCCCCCACACCTCCCACCCCTCCTGTCTCCAGCCCCCAGGCCTTTCCCCTGATGGCACTGAGAGGGTACCACATGTGCTCTATGACACCAAACTCCCCCACCCCGCCTGACTCGGTCACCATGGCGTGGCTGGGAGGGACAGAGGAGTTGGAAGGTTGAGGGGCTGCCTCTGAGTCACTCTGCTTGCTGTCAGGAAAGCACGTTTCTAGAAGGAGGAGCTCGGTGCGTCCCATCCAGAGCAGGTTCCCCCAGGGCCTGCAGGAGCAGACTCAGTGAGAGTAAGGCTGCAGGGGGAGGAGCAGGCTGTGGCCCTGCCCCACGTCAGAGGGCATCACCGCCCCTGTACTTGTGTGACATGGGTCACCATTGCCGTCAGGGCACAGCCCTTTGGTTCTGTGGGCTCTGGGGCAGTCTGGCTGATCAGGGCGACGACCGAGACAGCCAGGGACTACACCCACGCTTGGGGGTTGCGGGTGGGTGGTGGTACTGGAAAAAGGTACCAGCCCAGAAGAGTCGGGAGGAGCTGGGCACGGGCATCGCATGGGCTGACCCGAGCCAGGGCCGCAGTTGTCTCCAGTCCAAAAGGGAAGACTGACTGGCTGTGGCATCCTGGCTGCCCGCCTGGGCCGGGGGCAGCATTTCACCCTGGGTGAGCCTGTTAGCAGCACCATGCCTCCCTTCCGTAGAACTTCTCAGGGACGTCCTCAGTCCTGATCTGACCACCTAGAGAGTGCCCGGGGCCATTATGTCCCAGAAGTCGGCCTGTTCTGCTTCTCTTCCTCCTGTTTTTT